TTTCCCCAAAGTACTTGAGAAGTTCCTAGAGGAGATCATGTTTACAGCTTCAAGGGAGGGAAGGCACTAGGGAGGACAGAAATGTGAGCAGCAGAAAAGGAGCATATAGGGACTAAAAGTCCAAGTCTACAGAAATTCTTATAAATCAGCCTAACCTAGCAGTGCTTCGAGAGGGGAGTAAGGATGCTGGCCGTTGTTATAGACAGCTAAGTTAGGCAGAAATATTACAGGCAGTCAGGCAGTAAGAGGCCCTGGAGAAAGCCAGGACACAGGTACAAACACAATGTGACCAGAGACGGGAGGTGGAGGCCAGGCCTCAAGATAACAACCAAAGGACCAGGGATGAGAGAGGCGATAACATCTGGTCTAATAGTCTAGAAAGGCATCAGTCACCCCAGGGGGCAACCAAGACCCCCAGTATGTCACCCACCTGAGCAGTTCTGCTGTTCACTGTGACTTGTTTCCCCATTGGATCAACACTGCCCAAGAAGCTATATGTACAATCTTATTGGTCGATCACAGCTGTACAGCCCACTTTGTACCCATGTTGTTGTGCTCTGTAAAATTTTCCCTAAGAATGGGGTCCTTGGGCAACACACTTTCCCACTTTCCTTCATGTCCCTCTGGCAGGAGCGTTCTATCCCTCACTAAATATTTCCTACTCTTCACCTCCATTGTTCCTAGAATTCACTCTTGATTGTAGAGAACACGAACTTGGCATATTAGACACCCACAGGCTGGAAATTATAAGAGCTCCCTTCTATCACAGTTGGAGGTTTTGATTCCACTCCTATATCACCATGGCGCTGCCCTGGTGTGAAGGGCAGGAGCGGGGCTGGGTCCTGCTTCCTGGAGGGGTCCTCATGTGACCGTGCAGCGCACAAGGCACAGCCCCGGGGTGGGGGGGAGATGAGGCAGGTGTAGAGGACCCAGGCTTCTCTCCATGCTGGGGCGGAGGGAACCTAGCAGGTCTTAAGGGATGAGCAGACAGGAGCTCATGACAGGAACAGCTCAGGGGAAAGACAAAATATGTACAAAAGAGAAGCATGGCCCTTTCCGGAGAGGAGAGGAGAGGTCGGGGCTGCCAGTTTGGGGGTGTGAACCGTGCTATGCTGAGGGGAGGTGACAGAAGACAGCAGGAGCTGGCAGCAGGTGTTACTTCTGGTGAGGAGGGGCCACGGGAGGGTCAGTTCCTGGGGGTCTGCAGGGAGAAGTGGCAGGGGCAATAAGGCGCCTGGTAGGTGGCAGTGGTGGAGATGGGTGCATGGGCGCAGAGGACTAGAGGCTGGCTGCTGTGGGCCTGGGGATGACTTTCCAGTTTGCATACTGGAAAGGTGGTGACACTGCATTCTGGTGTGGATTAGGTGACACACTTTCTGCTTCCTCAGATTTCTTGTTAACCAGCCCGTGTGGGCAAATGACCAAGGGCCTGGACCTCACAGAGCTGCAGCAGGCTTTAGCTTACCCCTGCAAAGGATGACCATGGCTCCCAGCAATCTTCCTCTTGCTTTGACACCTTCTGGGAGTCGGCTCCCCACTTCAATGTTACCCTCCCCATGGGGTCCTACACCACACAGGGATTAAAAAAAAAAAAAAATAAGGAGGCCATTGGGCAGCCTGCAGCTTGGGGCACCACCACAGGACACAGGTCCTTCCTGGAGTTCCCAGCAGTCCCTCTGACTCTGACCCGGCTATGCCCCCTGGATTGGGAAATCCATTGACAACCTGCTGGGATCACCAACCCTCGGTGAATTCCCCATAGGACATTGCAGGCTCTGAAGACACAGGCAGGGCAAGCAATATCCTTCAAGGCCGGGGCTGGGGCAGCACAGGTGCCAACCACCCGGAATGGACCTGATTACAGGGCCAGAGCAGCAGTCAGAGGAGCAGGGCGCTGTCAGGGGCCAGAGAATAGCCTCTTACCTGCCAGCTGCACTGAAGAATTTTACTCTTTTAAAATGACCTGAATCCAGTGGCGATGTCAACTCTCAACTCATCTCTGGGAGGGTGAGCAAAGAGGGCCTCCTCTCCCTCCATGAAGGGCCCACCGTGCACACCAGGGGCTGTGCTCCTGTGCTCCCACCCAGAACCATCATCCCCTCCCCAGCCTCTGCTCAGATACACGTTCCCTGGAGGGAGGCACCTGGGAAATGCATCATGAACTGGATCTCAGACTTCTCGTTCTCAGGCTGACCCCTAGGGGACAGCAGGGACATAGCAGGCCACCGAGGGCCAGCCAATAGGATTAGGATGCGCCCCACACTGGCCCCCTCTAACACCCTTTTGTTTTGTTTTGTTGAGACAGGAGCTAAGGCTCACCTCCTCCTAAGCCATCCTCCTGACTCAGCATCCTGAGTGCTAAAATTACAGGTGTGTGCTACCATTCCAGTTGATCCCTTTTATGAAGAACTCCCGATACAGGAGCAATTCTACCTGGCAGATTGGCCTCAGAACTGTCCCTTTCACCAGCTCCTGGCACTCAGGAGCCCATGGGAAGAACCAGCCCAGGTAATCAAGCTGTTCCACTCAGCAGGACCAACAAGTCCTGCTCACTCATTGCCACTGCGCTGTTCTCTGGACAGTAGAGCCATGGAGGACAGAATGGAGTTCACCTGGATGGAATTTTAAAACCAAAACATCACCACTGTAAGGTCCCACAGGAAAATGCAGGGAAGCGTGGGTGTTGCTGAGATGGGCTGACTGTCCTTCTCCCTTCAGAACCTTTGGCCTTGGGAGGGAACACAATATTGCCCTACAGAGCTGTGTGTTCTCTCAGAGGCCAACGCCTCTGCATCCATTTCTCAGTTTTCTCCATGTGCTATCTGTTCCGGAAGTGTGAGTTGGGTCAGGAAAGCAGCCAGAACATACAGGGTTCATGGCCCTGTTTCTGGGCATCACTGGGGGACTGGGACCTCAATCCCACTCTGCCCTCCAGCTCCCTGATCGCTTTTTTTTTTTTTTTTTTTGGTCTTTTTCCTTTTTATCAGTACCAGGGATCGAACTCAGGACTGCCTGCTTGCAAGGCAGGTGCTTATGCCGCTGAGCTAAATCCCCAGCCCCGACCGCTTTATTTTTACATTATTTTGAAGCCCTAGGGCCCAGGGTGAAGGGGAAAACACACAGAGAGCAGCACCAGGAGGCACCAGTTTGTTTTCTCAGTGAATCTTTGCAGTGGACCTTGACTGGTATGGCAAGCCCTGCCTTACAGCTGAGGAAACTGAGGCTCTGAGGTGCTGAGAAGAACTGTCCCAGGGCTACATGGCTCATCAGTGCCCAAAGTAGGGTAGGGACCTGGCTCTGGGTGACCCAGAGCCCATCACCTGCCTCAGCAGCCTGTCTAGCAATCTGTGGTAGGTTCATTCTGGGAGCACTCAGTGTTTGCCCCACGCTGGGGACCCTAGTTCTAGTCCCTGTTCTGGGTTGCCAGCTTTGCATATTATCTTGACCCGTCCTGGGGCTTTCACTGTGATCACTGCACCCTGAGGTCCAGTGACCCTGGCTCCACCTGCTGCCTGGCTTTGGTCTCTGCTACTGAGCTCAGCACTAGATCCAGCAGACTGAAGCAAAATGGAGTTGCTCATGCTGAAGTTTCATACCACTAGAAGAAACTAAGTTGTTTCTCTGACCTTCTCAAAAATTGAGGGTTAGGGTTAGGGTTAGAGCAGAGAGGACAGCCACACTCCTGAACAGGTCAGTGTTGTCACAATAATAAGGAAATCCCCTCAGCTTTAATCCTTACAAAAAAGTAACCAGAGGCAACCTGACGTGAACCAATCAGCTTTTTTTTTTTTTTTTTTTTTTTTTTCATTTACCATTCCATTTCCTTGTTTGCACCAGGAAAAGCCCTGTGTTGTGCTATTGTCCATCGGGGACTCTCAACAGCAAACAAAAGTCAACTAGATCTGTAACATTTTGCTCGGGGGAATGAGCCTGGGGCCTCTTGCAAGCTGAGCGAATGCTGTACCCTAAGCCACAGTCCCAGCCCCCTAACTTTGTTGTCCTTCTGTCTTTTCGGTGTTGTGGTCTTCTGCACTATGAACCCCTTTTCCAGCTGTGTCCACAGAGCCCAGAGCTGAGCCCACTCCCCAGAGGGATCCCCAAGAAGTACGCAAAGGGTTCCTTTAGCCTCTGGCACCGTGGGCCTCCGTCAGATGTGAGAAATATGGGGGCGGCTGTGGGTTTGAATGAGGCACCAATCAGATCCAGAGATGAGAGCTGGCCTGGCTGAGAAACCAAAAAGTCTTTACCTAGTTCTGAGCCACCTCAGCCAGAGGGACACCAGAGGCTTAACAAGTGCGTCTCAGACTGTTTCTCTGCTGGATGAAACCCCAAGTAAACACACCACTGGGCGATGCTGACAGCACAGCAGCCATGAGGGTTAGCGTGCTGACACGAGGGAGGCTGGTGTCCCGGAGCGAGGAGCGGTCCCAACCTGCCCCGTCTCGTCCTGTGAGTGTGGTTAACTCTAAGTGGTTACGCTCTTTGACTAACCGATAATCCTAAATACAGCGTTTTCCTACGAGTTTCTAGTGAATTATCAAATGGGGAGCCGTGGGAACCCCCACATTTGTAGATGGCTGGCATCAGAAGGGCAGAGGTCTCACGGGACTGACCCTCGACTCCGGACCCCGGTTAGTGCCAGAGAACTAGAGAATACTTGGGGAAACACACCACACAGGGATCTACAGCTCAAAAAGTGGTGGACCAGGAGCAAAAGAAACTCCAGCCCTGCCTGCATGACCACAAGCCCCTTACTTTCCCTCCCTGTGACTCAGTTTCTCCTCAGCAGCAGCGGGGGGCAGCAGGATGCTCTGTCTGACACAGCCTGGGCTGCGATTTCCCGAGGGCCCTCACTGAACCTGTCCCCCAACCCCTCAATCCATCTCTTGACTGTGATCCACCGGGCTGCCCGGTTGCTCTCTCAGACGCCGGAACCGTGGAGCAAAGGTGAGCGGAGCAAAAGGTAAGCTGAGGGCAGGGTTAGAGGCCCTGCCTCCTACCTGCCCCACGCAGTCAGGGATCTCAGGTGTGCACGGCAGTGTCCCCGCACTCTCCATGGACAGCACGTCCTTCAGCAGCTCCTCGCACCCTGCAATGGACAGAGAGGCAGATGACGGAGAGGGGCCAGAGCCTCCGCCTGCTGTGGAGGAAATGGACAAGGGAACGTGGGAGGAGGGAGAGAGGGGCCAGCCTGTCCGGGTGTGCTGGAACTGGCCAGGAGCTGGAAGTCCCCCAGGTCGTGACCAGATTCCCGTGTGGTCATCTCAGGGGGAGATGAGTAAGAAAAGACAGGGGGAAGAACAGAGAAGGGGAGCCTGTTAACAGGGATCCAGTTTCCCTGAGCCTGTGGGAGGCCCTGAGGCAGCGGTTCAGGGAGCCCCACATCCCATGCGACCCGTACTCCCAGATCCTGAGGGTAGCCTCGGCAGAGCCCCCTTCTGGGACCCACGCTGGCTCTGGGACCCAAGGCCCACTGGCTTCCAGCTGGACAGGACGGGCGAGAGGACCTCCCAGAGTGTCTCACCTTTCATGGCGAACACCCCACGGCAGAAGTCCTTGAAATTGATTCTTCCCAGGTCGTTGGGATCCAAATATTTCACAAGTTTTTCCACCTGTGAGAAGGAAAGGGACACCAGTAAGACACCCAAGGGGCCCTGCCTCTGAGCCAGGAGGAAACCAGCGTCCCAGCCTAATCCTCTCCCTCTGGGGTCCGTATCAAGGCCCAGGTGGCTGTGGGGCCACTTTGCACCCCCAGGACCAGAAGACATGGTGGGGACAAGCAGACACCACCGCTGCCCAGAGGCTGTGGCCTTTCCCTTCGAGCTCCCCGGCAGGCCTGGCCCATGATGGAGGCCCAGGGAGCCAGCGCACTTCGCCATGTTTCCTTTTTTATTTTAAAATTTTCTGCAAGTACCTATTGGCCCTACACAGCCCTCACATTCATCACTGGGGATTTGTACCTACACATAATATATCTTATATCTTTTTTCTCCCATTGCCCTGCCCTCCTTTAACCTTTCTTCCCCTCCCCATTTACAAAAGCTTTGTTTCCATTTTCTTCTTCCGCTGTTTTCTTAATCTCTTTTCCCTTCCTTCCTTCCCCCCACCCTTGCTCCCCTTCCCACTTATGTTTTCATCCTTCCTCCCAATATTCTCCATTGTGCTCCTTGCCTACCCTTAGGGTTTCTCACACAAGAGAAGCAATGTGATATTTAAACTCGTGTGCATCCATTTACCTACAAATGACTCAAGTGTTCCTTATTTAGGGCAAAGTAGTATTGTAGTATTCCACCAAATGTAAACATCACATTTTCTTTTTTTTTTTTTTTTTTTTTTTTGTCTTTTTCCTTTTTATCGGTACCGGGGATCGAACTCACGACTACCTGCTTCCAAGGCAGGCGCTTATGCCGCTGAGCTAAACCCCCAGCCCCCCATTTTCTTTATGTATTTGTTGATGGGCATACGGGCTGTTTTCAAGATGTAGCTATTATAAATCATGCTGCTATTTTAAAAATATGGTTTCTTTCACATGAAACAAACACAAACTTATTACAAAAACCCTGGAAACCCACTTTTCTCAAGAGACATAGGTTTTTGCTTTTTATTTGTACTTTGGGTTTCTCACAGAAGGAAAACTATGCAAGATTTAAGCTTGTGTGTCTATCTTATTCCACTTAGTATTATGATTTCCAGGTCCATAATTTTGACCACATTTTAAAAAAAACTCTGTATTTTGTAGTTCTGAAATCCTTGGTTAATACTCTTTTGGCAACAAGAAGGAGCAGTTATGGAAACCTGTTAATTAAATGCAGTTAAATAAAACTGCAAATTAAATGAAGTTTAAGGTAAAACCAAGGTCGCTGTAGAGAGTGGCTCTATCTGTGAGCACTGTGGGATGGGAAGCCCACCAGGGAGATGTCTGGGCTGCGGCTGGGTCTGTTTTGTTTTATTTGTGGTCTCACTGTGTTGCCCAGGCTGCCTCTAAACTCACTGGCTCAAGTGATCCTCCTGCCTCAGCCTCCTGAGCACCTGAGATTACAGGTGCATCTGTTTCTTCACATGGGTGCTGGTGACTCAGTTCAAACGCACTGACCCAGACACTTCTGTTCCCATTTGTCATTATGCATCAATACAAAGTGTTTAAAAGTAAATTAGAAAAAGGTTTAGCCGAAAGCAGTTGTCGGCTCCTGACGTCAGGGAGTTTCTTCCCCGCATAACAGAGCCTCAGAAACCCTTGGCCACGCGGCCAGGCATGTGCACCCACATTGTGGACAATGATTCAAAGATGCCCTGCCACATCCGGGCCATCCCCCCCCATCATCTCCCCAGCTGGTGGTTCTGTCACTTCCAGCATTTTGCTAGTGCAGCTCACCCCTGGGGGATTCTAGATGTTTGACTTCCTCGGTTACATCAGTCACTGTTCTCCATGGCCTCGGCCACCGAGTCCCTGGGACAAACCAGCCATCATCTCCTCCAACAGCTCACTCAGCACCACAGAGCCGAACCCAGCTTTTCCTTCCCACCACTGCATGGTTCCTGGCCGCCCAGCATGATCAGTGCTGCTCCCTCTCCCCCACACCGGACGCACACCCTGCCCTATCCCAGGGCCACCTCACATGGCCCTCTTGGACCCCCCCCCATAGCTGCTATCTCCTCCCTCCTAGACTATGCAGCTCTCCCAATGCACCCAGCCTCCCCCATTTCCACCCTACAATCCCTTCTGCACTCTAAATGGAGTGAGTCGCCACTGCTTTGCTTAAAACCATCATGCGATTTCTGTCCCTTAGGATAAAACCCACCCCTTGCACGGCCTGCAAGGTCCCCCTTCAGCCCCATCCCTTCTACTCTCTCCCTTTATTCTCCCCCAGCTACTGGCCTTCTGCCAGCCCCTTTCTGACTGACTCAGCCCTGGCATGAGCTGCCCTTTGGATCAAAGCCAGGACCGCATGCACGCTAAGCATATGCTAAACTCCTACCTAGGTTTTTTTGGTGTGTGTGCCAGGAATTGAACTCACGACCTCATGCTTACCAGGCAGACACAATACTATTGAGCTGTATCCCTAGCTTAGCTCAAGGTTTAAAAAAACATGCTCTTATTAGGACCTATTTGCAGGACATACTGGTTGCATTCATGGTGGGGAATTGGTTCATACACAGGGAACATCTCAATTCTTTTCTTTTTTCCCCAGCTCAGGTTTTGTGGGCCAGGGTCTCACCGTCTAACTCAGGCTGGCCCCAAACCCTTGGGTTCAGGGATCCTCCTCATTCACCTCCTGAGTAGCAGAGGTGTAGCTCGATTCCTGGGTCTTGAACTCCTGTGCTCCCCCTGAGCACCTGGCAGCGTGTGGTCACCCTTCAGGTCTCCTCTGTCCCTAGCCCGGACAAGCTTGTCCTGACCACCTTGACTGGGTGCTGCTCCCCCATCTTGTGGTACCCTAAACTTTCCTTCAAACTGTTTATGCAATTTGTGATTCCATGTTTGGGTGATCCTCTGAGGAATTTGTATCTCCCTCTGCAGAGTAAGTTCCCTCAGCGCAAAGAGCGTATCTGTTTTGATTATGACCATATAACTAGTAGCCTATCTCAGCGGGCAGATACACAGCAGGAGCCTCATAAATATTTGCTAAATAAACTAATACAAATGCCTGTACAGAACAGCCAAGATGTTAAGACTTTTAATAACAGTTGCCAAATTATTGTGTCTTAATTTGATCCCCAGTCAGAGCCAGTTGAGTTTAAACTTGCTAGATTTGTGTATTTTTCCCCTTGTTTGGCAATGGTCTGTTTTGTAAGAAGTATCTTTCTAATTAACCAGAATCATTTTCCCCCTTAAAAGGTACAACACCTGAATTTCAGTTTCTTGCCATTTCTTCCCGAAACCTACTTCTAAATCAGCCTATCCTCAGTGGCAGCCCCTCCACAGCACACATACAAAATTCATTCATCCATTCGCTGAGCATCTCCTACATGTCAGGCACTCTGCTGGGGCTGAGGGTGGTACCTTCACCTGCTGGTCCTGCTGGCTAATCACACACAGCCACGTGGACACGGCACGCATGGTCCCACTTATTGGCAGTGCCCTGCCCTCTCCCTAGCTATCACCATCTGCAGCACAGCAGGGCCAGACAAACTGTCTCCACAACCTTCTCTGGCTGGGCTGCAGATGATGGATCTGAGCTTTCTCTGGGCCCACAGAGCCCAGCAGGTAGGGAAAGGATTTTCCCGCTGCTACTGTGATTGTTCACATCATGACAGGGAGACCTGCCTGCCTCCCACTCTGCCTGTCACATACACCAGAGCCCAGTTATGCTGGCAGATTTGTCTGTTCGCAAACTGATTTTTTTTCCTGCACACCCACAGGATACTTCTGCAGTATAACTGTTGCAGCAGGGGTCTGAAGCCCTGGTCACAGTAGCCTGGCATCTCAGGGCTGGGTCCGGCAAGCTCCGGAAGATGAACACAACAGGCAAAGAAACCCTTTCACGACCTCCTGAGCTTGGTGGTTGTGTGTCAGGACCTCTGTCAGCGGGCCTGATGTGGATCTGAGGAGAGGATGGTGGATAGGCTGTGTAAGGTGCTCTGTGAGACATCCCTGAACTTAGTACTCAGTGGCCTTGAGAGAGGCCCACAGAGCTCCAGTGAGGGAGGAAGCCTCTGTGCCAGCTCCTGCCTGACCAGAGCAGCCCAGCAATGCAGCTGCCACCCTCCTCCCCCACCCAGCCTGACACTGCCAGGCAATGGCATGGCTTCCAATAATAGCAATGTCCAGGTGCCCCTGCAGGGAGCTGGGAGTCCACCCACGGCCTCAGCTGGCAGCCACTTCATCTCCTCCTGCACGCTACTCACCAGCACTGCAGGGCACTTGTGAACATGGGGATGAGTCAGGGCAACCCGCACCCCTCTGCCTTGCAGCGCCCACCACTCCAGTCCTTTCCACAGTCAGGAGCTGTGCCCCAGTTAGAGTGCTGGACCATAATGATGAGGCAGCATTTAGATTCTGGATTCTGAAATGGATTTAGATCCTCGAATCCGAAAGTCCATTATCTCCCAGGGGGTTGGAGGACATAGGTAGGGTGGACTACTCATCCTCTCCTTCAGGAAAGCCAGGCCAAAACAGGTGGCAGCTGAGGTGTTTGAGGGTGCTGGGCAGGTAGGCAGGGTCTCCAAGGGCACCTCATGATCTGCAGAGCACCCTGTGCTGTGGTCCAGCTCCAGCTGCAGGTTCATGCCTGCTGTGACTGCCCCTCTGAGGCCACTCCCACCGGGTTCTTCAAGAAGTGGTGGTCCCCATCAGTGGCTGCAGGCATGTCATGCACGCTGCAGGGTGGCCCTACAGAAAGCAGGCAGGAGCATGGCAAAATTCTTTTTAAAAAGGCAGCCTGTTCAATATCTATAAATACCATGACAGTAGCTGCAGTGACTATAATCTGGAATCCATCTGGCCTGCAGACCTTGAACCCGAACTGGAGATGGGACCCAGGGAATAAATGGGGAAATCAGCCTAAAGAGAAAAGCACCAGAAATAGAAGGGAAGCTTGGTAATTGAGTGGTCCAAAAAAAGAAAGATCAATATTTTACTGCCAGGGAGACAATCAGTTTAATATCTATAAAT